AAACAATCAGAAGAAGAAAAAATGAAAGGTCGTTCTTCAATTCACCCACAACTTATTGCCCACAAAGATCAATGACTATGGAAGAATATCACTTGCCACCGGATATACATTTATAATGTGCCCCTACTCTGTTTCATCTACAGTGGGGGGGGGGGGGGTTATGGTCATAGGGTCTTTCCATTATGGTCAATAGTTTTGTAGAAAATCTTTCTCCACTACTCATTTTTTCTGTACAGGAAAGAATATCATGTTTGTATCGGAACATTTTTTGATATTCCCTATTTCCCTTTCTTCGTATAACTCGTATACGTCTGTAGAGTGTACATATCTACTGTAGATAATGACAATTGCAATGAGTCACAGCGTGGTAACCTCACCATCTCTGTCATTCTATATTGGTTTTTATAATTTGAGAGAGAGTGAGTCTGAGAAAAATATAGGCAAACCTACACTCCAAATAAGATGTAAGTGGGGAAACACAGTGGGATGTAACGCTTGAATAGGGCATTTGCTTCTGTAGTTGTATCTAAATATCCATTTTCTTCACTAACTACATACATGCTAAATCTATTTAGTGATGACCTATCCAACAACTTGCCCAGGCTCACGTGAGTTGGTCTATGGTTCGCCCTTCTTGTCTGCTTAAAAATGACACGGGGTTTGATCCAGAGTCGCACATTCTGTATGGTGACGTGAAAGGTGAGTCCCCCGCCAGACGTGCAAAATCAGGAATTGATACACAATATGCAAAAGCCAAATCATATCCAATTGTCTACCCATTACGACACCCTCATCCACTCACCCCCCCCCACACCCACATACCACCCCTCAGACCTCCCCACACACCCACATGCCCACAACCTCCCACACACCCATACACCTCCACACACCCAAATACCTCCACCACACCCACATTCCTCCCACACACCCACATACCTCCCACACACCCATACACCTCCCACAACCATGCACCTCCCACACACCCATGCACCTCCCACACACCCACATACCTCCCACACACCCGCATTCCTCCCACACACCCACATACCTCCCACACACCCATACACCTCCCACACACCCACATACCTCCAACACACCCGCATTCCTCCCACACACCCACATACCTCCCCACACACCCACATACCTTTCCCACACACCACATACCTCCCCACACACCCATATACCCCCCACACACCCACATACCTCCCCACACACCCACATATCTCCCCCGACACACCCACATACCTCCCCAATACCCACATACCTCCCACACACCCACAAACCTTCACACACACTCACATACCTCCCACACACCCACAAACCTTCACCACACCCACATACCTCCCACACACCCACATACCTCCCACACACCCACATACCTCCCACACATCCACATACATCCCACACACCCACATACCTCCCACACACCCACATACCTCCCACACATCCACATACATCCCACACACCCACATACCTCCCACACACCCACATTCCACCCCTCAGACCTCCCCACACACCCACATGCCCACAAACCTCCTACACACCCATACACCTCCCACACACCCACATACCTCCCACACACCCACATTCCTCCCACACACCCACATACCTCCCACATGCCCATACACCTCCCACACACCCATGCACCTCCCACACACCCACATACCTCCCACACACCCGCATTCCTTTCACACACCCACATACCTCCCACACACCCATACACCTCCCACACACCCACATACCTCCCCACACACCCATGCACCTCCCACACACCCACATACCTCCCACACACCCATACACCTCCCACACACCCACATACCTCCGACACACCCGCATTCCTCCCACACACCCACATACCTCCCCACACACCCACATACCTCCCCACATACCCACATACCTCCCACACACCCACATACCTTCCCCACACACCACATACCTCCCACACACCCACATACCTCCCCACATACCACATACCTCCCACACACCCACATACCTTCCCCACACATCCACATACATCCCACACACCCGCATTCCTCCCACACACCCACATACCTCCCCACACACCCACATACCTCCCCACATACCCACATACCTCCCACACACCCACATACCTTCCCCACACACCCACATACCTCCCCACACACCCACTTCCATCTTATACTCACAGGGCTTTACCCTGAGCTGCCGAAGCCTTGCAGGACCCACTCGATAGCTCTGCCAATCTCTCAGGAATCTTGTATCCCTCCAATGCATCTGTTCTCCATTGTAATACTTATAACCGTAGAGACCTGGTATAAGGGTCTGTTCAATGTAGTTCCAGAATTCATCAGGCGTGCTCTGTGACAGGGCGCCGAAAGTCACCGGTTCTACCTGTTACAGAGTTATGCGATTAAATAGACAAAATATATATATACTTTTTCTGTCTCCTCTTTCTTTTTCTCATGTACTCCCAATTGTGTTGTCCTATCCATTACTTTCCGTGTCCTCTTTCCCCTTTAGCCTACATCTGACAAAACAATTACACGAAATCTGATAGTGGAACTGATATTTACGAGCTTTTCATATCACACATTTCATTATACTAAGGAATGTACAGAGTGTATGAATATTACTATTATGACATGAATTTCCTCACAGAGTGCTGAAAATTGTCAAGACGAGCAACTTAGTGGGATAATCAGGGCTTCATGCTGTTGTGTAACACATCATGTCTTGCCTGTCATGTACATAATGGATCCGGGGGTATACATTTTGTTTTTTTAGTACAAACTGAAACAGCCTTTGCCAAGGGATAAGTGCACCATGAATCCCAGTAGCATGAATTCATGAATGTATATTAATCAACCCTTAGTGGCTTTGTGAATCAAACAGTGACTTAGGACCAAGAGATCACCGGATGAAACCAAGTTTACTTAGTAAGTGCTCAATTGTAATAATTATAAATGCCCCTGTCCCTTCAAAATGAACTGAAGGCAAGGATGGTAAATATCCTCATATTTTTAACTCAAAACTTCTTCCTCATTACATCATGTAAAATGAACATTGCAGACCGCAGAACGGTTTTATCGAAATAATAGATGTCCACATCTACTTTAGATCTGCAGGGTAAACAAGATTGTCCGTTTATTTAGTTTTTATATTAGCAAAGTTTCCTTTTCAGTTAACAAACTGCTATTATAATACCTGAGGGACCTAAGATTGAAGATTTTAGTTTTGTGTGTGTCATATTGGCATACCAGCCAATCTACTTTTGCCACACTCCACCCAGGTGTAAATAGGCACCCGATATGCGAGATTGCTCCATATTTGGTCGCCAGCTATGACCAGGGTACTGAAGGGCTAAAAGCATCATGGCGTGACGGACATGTGCTTTAAGAAGCCACCACAATAATGATTTTTTTTTTTTTTTAATTTTTTATTTCTATTTCAGTGGGACTTGACGTCTTGACCTTTGGTAGCCTGAATAGACTGATTTGACACAATGAGCATGCATGCTTACCCCATCCACAAGGTAGTCGATGCTATCTCTCACGAATGTATTCCTGATCGTTTCAGACATAAGGAAGGCTTGAGGGTCTCTGTTGATGTAGGCCAGGTACAGGACCACCATCAAGAAGAGAGCGTACAAGAAAGCGTCCCGTATCACGCCCGACACCTGCATGTCTCGAAGACGTTCCTTGCGAGCCTCCTGCAAGATCTGCTTGGTTGGCGCAGTCTTGGGTCGTATGGAGTAGCCAGGGACTGCGGGGGGGAAAAAAGCAACCAATTATCGTATATCATTCTACAGTACAATTGTATTTTTTCAATATATTATTCCATTTCAGGAAGACAAAAATAGTTGGTCTAGACAGAAAATGTGAACCAAGATTACAAGGCTTGCAAAAATAGTATGGACTTCCTTATAAGTTTTATAGTTACAATGATAAAAGGATTTTAGGGTCATGTAGTATAAATAGAATTGGTGATAATTGAAATTGAAAATTGGTTTTACTTTTTTTTCTTTTGAGAGAGAGGATTTGAGAATGTGAGCGAGATAGAGAAATGGAAAGGAGAGAGGGTGTGTGGGGGTGGGTGAGAGAGAGAGAGAGAGAGAGAGAGGAAAAGTACCTTTCCCTGCAGTCAGCGAGTCCTCATGGAGATACTCTTCATCCGTCTGAAGTTTGTTGATTGTTTTGTCTTTGAGACCTTCAGCATCGGCATCGTTCATTTTCGAAGGTTTCTTGAAGATGATGGACACTATAAAAACAATGACTATCACCTGAAAATGATTTCCCAAAAGAAAAAGATAGAGAAATTGAATTGATTTACTAATCATTAAGGATTCCATTTGTTTTAATAAAGTGATGGTTGGATATGGAGAATTATTCAGGCTTTGATGAATTCTCTGCTTTTTGGAAGCTTGAACGTAAAACCCCTAACCCTGACATCATTTTAACACTATGAAAGGAAATGCACCAAAGGGGTCAACTGGAAATAAACAGTTTACATTACTTTAAGCTGAACTGCTGCAAAGAGCAGAAGAAATACATATGAATAAACAAACGAACGAATTAATAATAGGACAACTTTAATACTAAAACGCATGTAAACTTACATGTTGAACTATGTGAAAACCTAAATGTTTTGTTTGTTTTTTTACACTGAAAAATCTTTACCTCTCAATGAATCAATCATTAACATATTCGGAACACCTGAAAGAATATCTTAGCTACAGTTTGAAATTTTACACGACGTCAATCTCTTCATATTTAAAAACCTTAAGAAAAGCAATAGGAATAAATACCCTTTAATGGTTAGATGACTAATGTCAATAGAAGTATAATATTTTACTTCCAACACTTCTCTTCTTTATCTTAACTTCAAACATTATTACGTTTTAACGAATCAGCCATCTTACCTGCTTTTGTTGGAGAACAAATGCTGAAAGATATGGCCATTTACCGAAACTCCTTCTTTACTTTCAACTTATGTCATTCTTCCCACTCCCACCTACACGGACTCCTAACGTGATTAGGTCTCCAAATATTAAATTCTTACCTTCGTTGACTGGATGACCGTTGCTGAGTTAAAAAGAGGTGTGCTCACTGACCTTAACTCCTGCCTATAACCTTTTAATTCATCCCACTCCTGCCACTCAAATTTACCCGGTCTTGGTCGTACTCTTGATCACGACAAGTTAGAGCTATCTTACCTTCGCTGGTTGGATGATGAATGCCGAGCTGAAGAAAGACACAACCATGGACTTTAGCCACTCCTCTGCTTTCTCCTTACCCCACTCTAAGCTGTACAATACGCTGAAGAAACATGATATGAAGCATGCCACAAATGCCAGGGCGTAGGCAATGTAGATGGTCCAGTGGGGTAGAGGGTACTTCTTCTTGGCGGCTATGGCAGCAGCACTGGGCTCAGCTGGTGATGGGTCAGATGAAGGATCGGGTGGAGGTTGACCTACTCCTACTTCAACCTCTACTTGCTGATGAAAACAAGATGACAGTCTTCGTTTATTACAGGGTTTTAATGATCCTTATACTGTTCTATTTATAAGTTTTTTTTAAATATTTATTCTTTTCTATCATAAACAAAATAGCAGATAAAGATTAACATTTCACACACAATTACAAATAAATTTCCACATTTCATACATCATCATATTATATGATTCAGAAAACAATATTGAAGAACAAACTCATACATGAATCAAGCCTATTTTGTTGATCCTGTAAGTAACATTTTCAAGTCCTGTTTTTGATAGATCTGGTTAGAGAAAAGTTAATAATCAAAGAAAATGAAAGAAGAGACAAGAAGAAGACAAAAAGATGAAGATACAATCTTCTTAAACAATAATTAATCTGCAACTCATTTTTATAATCTTTCTAGAAATAAGTTACTGAATTTTTAAAATCACATCAGTTCAAAATGGCATGGATTCCTGTTAGATTCTCACTGATTGAAATAGCTTTTGTAAGGTCAGCTAGTAAACTTTGTATCATATGAAAATAGCATGTGAATGGCTCTAATATCCCAAGAAAAGCTATTTACCACATACAACAGGAAGATTAATATTGGTTTAACATTAGAATATTTGGCAAATTTTGTCTTCATCCATCAGAAAATAGTTTTCAAATTGTTGACATACCAGACAATATTTGTAATCAGGACATCCGTTGCATATAACATTAAGAGAGTAATCTGACATAGAAGTTTGACAGAGGTTTTTTAAAGATTTATGGATCTTTTACGATACGATTGCCACCTTAGTTATCATCTTTCAGTCAGAAGTTGAACAAAAAGCAGGATATCTTCCTATGTATTTGCCATCTATAGATTATCTGCTATGTGGAATAAGAAAACATTACTACAATCAATCCATTTTTTTTATTATCTTGTACCTTTTCAGATATGGCCATATCATGGCGTTTTTCCTCAAAGCTCAACTGTTCGATGGACTTCTCCCCTTTCTCTTCTTCTTCATGGTGAAGATTCTCCGGATAAGGGCTATTAAGGGGTCAGGTGCATCGGGGTCAAGGGGTCGCGCCTTCCGGAATATTGGGCTATGATTAGGTTGACAGGCATCACGATCAGAGAGCTTATGAAACCTATAGAGATCTATGTGAAGAGAAGAACAAACAAGCTTACTGTGAGGTGAAGATCTTAACAGCTAATGAATTTCAATTTTTGAATACTTTCATATTTTAAAGAAATAACAAAAAGAATGGCAGCCAGTAACTGATAGCTTGAGATTAACCGGAAAAGATTCTACCTAGAGAACGATATTGGAGTGTGTGTATTCACTAATCAAGGAAAGTTTCAACTAAGGCCCCAGGACTGCAGGAGCGACTCTTTCTTTTTGGCTCTTCAGGCTCCAGCTTCCAAGGTCTACAGGTAAAACATTGTGCACCTACTAGTAGGCCTAATACAAAGAGAGTTAATATGTTTCTTGGCATGGTTAAAAGAATATTTGTGACAACAGAGAGGGAGTTTATTGTCCTCAAATTAGACTGGATTCTTAGCCAAATCTGAGAATACGACAGACCTGTTGAGGCGTAACCGTAATTGGTCCAATAATGATTGCCTGTGAGTTCGCAGCCGTTGTCTCTGTCTTGTAAAACATGGCATTGGCTATCATGGAGGTGTACAGGAGGGTAATACAGCAACACAGTCGCTGGCATCGATTGAATGAACTCCTTGTTGGGCGACTGAAGAGGGAGAACCACAAGTGCTGGTCGGACAGGTTCTTTCGCCCGCTTGTGAAGACGAGTTGCCCGACCTAGCAAAGAAAACATGATACAGGGATGACATATAATAATAATAGCGATAATAGTTATAATAATAATGATTATAATAATGATAATATTAATATTAATAATAATAATAATGATACTGATGATAATAATGATAATTATACCAAAAACAAAATAACAAATAACAATAGCACGTGATAACTCCATATAGAAGGCTCCTTTCATCTATAATCATTTATTTATTTATTTACTATTGTGCATATACATGTCCATTTATGTTTTGGTAAGGTCGTAGTAAGAATTCTACTGTTGTGATTTGGTAGTGTACACATTTTTCTGCTTACCTGAGTCAAGTCTTTCTTGCTGGCTACAAACAATGTCCTATCTACGTCACCATCACCCTGTTCAACAGCAAGCCACTGCTCACATAGAAAGAAGAACCTGCAGATTGATATAATCAATATAAAATTCTTACGATAATCTTCAAACAATGTAAAGGTCTACCGTCCTTCCCCACTATGTGAGATTGGCGGTCTTCATGCTCTTCATGCCTGAAAATAATTACCTATTTCAGCAAAATTATTGTTGACTTCAATTAATAGAGGAGCCTGCACCTTGGATTGTATTTTAAGAGAAATCTGGCGCCGTCTCAATCTTTTGAATCAGTCCATCATCATGAAATCAATAGCCATGAGACAGTAAAATGTCTTCATCTTTTACAACCACACTTCATAATCACAGTATTGACTATACAGGGAACACACATTCCCTTCACTGGTGGCATGTAGCTTGGGTCTAGTCACTGAAGGGCTGCTGGTGAAATGGGGGGGGGGGGGGTGGAGGCACTGGTCTTACCAGGTGAACTAAAATGCGGGAAAGGTACGAGTCCTTTGAATAAAGAAATGATGGAGGAGCGGTCTTTACCTCCATGTCGTATTCTACAGTTTTGAACAAAGATTAAGGTTTTGCACAGGTGACAGGGATGGGCAGGGATTCAACACCTCAATCTTCCGGGTTGAAAGTCAAGTGAAGAATTTTTAGGATATCCTTTTTTAAACAGGTCATTGATGTAAACGGACAATGTATTAGTGCCTCTTAGACCCAGTGGAGAAACTTTCAGATTCACTAAACATGTGGTTCTATCTGTATTCTTAGTGTTATAGTGTTCATTGTGTTTTGGCGAGTTCTTAGTCATGGTACTTACTCTTTGCCTGTCTGTAGGTCCATGACCGCTACCTTGGACAGGAACCAGCCGGCTTGTCCCCCTCCACCCGAGTTATCGTGCCAGATTCGAACATAGGCGAGGAGACCCAGAGGTCCGGCTGTCGTCATCAAGAAACTGTTGATGCTACCACTTTGAAATATCTGTAAAAGGATGATACCAGTCTCGATAGGCTCGTCCAGAAATGAAGCGCCAAACGCGGCGGTGTTTTTTATGATGACTTTAAATGTAATGCGCTTCTCAATTCACACTTTCATAAGAGGTAAGTTAGTGAATACGCTTAGGACCTTTGCTGTGCACAGAACTTTGCCATTCATTTACTTTTAAACATAACCACCTTTTCTTGTCTTTCTTTATTTTTTGCGGTAGTTTACCGCATCGTCATAACTGAACGAGCCATTATTTATAACAATCTTCTCTACAGAGTAAATCATTGGTTTAACTGGTGAACATGATGATAGAAGGTGACCCAACATTTGATCTGCTCCGGGCTTTTATTATTTCTTCAAAGAGTACGCTTCGGGTAGCAATTTTTGCTAAGTTAATTAGTTTTGGGTTTAGTAGGGTGAGGGTTAGGTAAAGTTTTCGGTACAGGGTGAAATTAAAAAGTCGGTAAGTGATGGAAAAGGATAAGAGCAGTGTATGTCGTAGAACCTTTACAAATCACGATTTAAACACACGCAGCTCATTCAATGCTGAAATCACGTGCCATTAATTTTGTTTAGATTTTTAATAAAGAGAAAGAGCGGGAAAAGAGAGAGAGAGAGAGAGGAGAGAGCGAGAGCGAGATGGAGAGAGAGGGGGAGGGGAAGAAGGGGGTGGGAGAAAAGTGACAGAGAAAGAACGAGAGGGAGAAAGAGAGAGGTGGAAGAGAGGGAGAGAGAGAGGGGTGAGGAGAGATAGGATGAGAAGAGAGAGAGATGAGGGGAGAGAGAGTGTGTGTGTGTGTGTGTGTGTGTGCGTGTGTGTGCGTGTGTGTGTGTGACCAGAGTGTCTTACAGGTCGTTTAGGATCATCCAACACTCTCGCTCCGGTATCTGCATCCTCTCCTGATATTATGATACCAACATTAGATTTGGTCCCAGCTCCTGGTCTTACTCCCGTTTCCACGGTAACCTGATACCCATAGGTATGCGATGGGTGGTTGTCACTCAGAGGAGTTACGCCCCACTAAAAAGAATATCATATATATACAACAATTTAAATAGACTGAAACCATTGATTTATATACAAATTTTCATGTATTATGAGTCACAATTGTAAAACTCCGCATGCACCTTGCAAAATAAACTTGTTTGGAATCTTATACCGATTAGTATCAAACGAGTTCGAATCTTGTCTCGATTTATCACATGATCTACGTACGTACTAAAATAAAGAGTGCATAGCATCAAATTGGACAACAATTAACTTAGTGTTTTATAAACTTCAGCTTGATAAATTTGAGGATTGGACAAGTCAGGCTATTAGAAATAACCTCATGAGTGGAAAAAAGATAAAAGAACGAATGTGAATATAGTTTGAATTGCTCTCTTCACTGCCCCCATTCTCTATTTTTTTTCAATTTTCATTAAAACCAACTCCGATTGGACTGGATTTCTCCATTATTCATAAGATGTTGGGGTGAGAAAGCGTATCAGGACAATTACCCCCCAGAAAATTACCCCCGAGGACAATTACCCCTCCCCCCCCCCCCCCCCCCTCCCCCCCCCCCCCCCCCCTGTTCGTTATTAAGGGAAGTACAGCCTGATAATAAGTTGGTTAATAATAAATAAAATTTAAAAAAACAGTTTTTATTTCGGGGGTAATTGTCCTGTGGGTTAATTGTCCTGGGGGGGGGGGGTGTGTAATTTTCCGGGGGGTAATTGTCTTTGAGGGTATTTTCGGGGGGGGGGTGATTGCCCAGGGGGGTTATTATTGTCCTACATAACCGTGAGAAAGACAGATACAGTGGGCGGAATGAAATACCCTTCAAACTCACTTTGATGATGTCCTGTTTGTCTTTCCTCCTGGCATAGATGAGGAGGAGAAGATAGGCTGACGTGAAGCCGATGATGGTTCCCATGGCAGCAAAGTTATCCAGAATATTCTTGTCAAATACCGTGCTGAAATCAATCTTGTTGGGTGGAACGAAAAAAGAGGCTGCAAAGGATGTCAGGTGATTGCATAAACAGTGCGTATCTCTGCTAGTTGTCTTAATACCGGTCTACATAGAAAGGGAGAGAGAGAGAGAAAAGAGGATGAGAGAGAAAGAGAGAGAAAATGTAAGCATTCTTAAATAACCACCGTCTGCATAGAAGACCCTCTTTATCTATAATTGTATTCATTTATTTCATTTACTTAATTGTAATAATAATAATATTGAATATTTATATAGCGCACATATTATCCACCATGCATGGTGCTCAAGGCGCTCGGCGCTCACAGCATTCATTTATCTACCTATTTAGTTATTAAGTTAGTTATTTTTTAAAATGTTAGTAAGTTCTTTATTCAATCAAGCTAGGTTCTATGGTGGTCTATACAGGCAAGAACATTGGCAAGTGCCTTGACACATGTATAGAAAGACAGAGGGCTTTAAACCACCAAAATTCTCATTATGGACACTATTTTGTTCCCCATTGCCTGGTATGGCTGCAAAACATGGCGAGTTGGAAAGGCAGATATAAGAGAATGTTTTCGCTTTTTGAGAGGTGGTGTTGGAGGAAAACGATGAGAATATCTTGGATTGAATGTACAACCAATGAATCTGTTAGAAATCAGATGGAAAGACACGCTACCCTGTGTCAAAAGATTAATCGAGGCAAATTTAACTACTTTGGCCCCATGTTGTAGAAGGAATGATGATATTACTATTGAAAAGATAATTATGCAATGATGCACTGATTGTCAAAGAAGATAACGCAGACAGAATCTTAAATGGACAGCTTTAATACAGGTGTATTACTCGTCTCTGCCTATTGTATAGCTCAAGACAGAACATTGTGGAAAACCATTATCATAAGTGTCAGGTATGACTGTTTGGTAGGAAGATGACGACACGTGTGTTAGTTATTTAGTTCGTTCATTCATTAGATATTTAGTATTATTAAATGTTGGCAAAACCCGTTTTCCTACCAACAGATTTGTTAGACACCAAATACCCCATACTTCTTAAAAACATACAAGCAACACTTGTAGATGACGCAACTCTCAACCTACGTAAGAGCCATCACTTTTCCAATTATCCTCTGTTAATGTTATCGAAGAAATTGCAATACATGCATTGCATGGTTACTGAACCCCCTATTTTATTTATCTTTTTTTTTCTTCTTCTATTTATCGTTGCAGGCTGGATAAATTAACTTTTTCTGCTGGCAAATATGTATAAGAACTTTCTGGCAACACCTTAACTATCATCCTACCCAACAACCGTCACTCTTCCATTCCTCCGTCTCACTATCGAAGAATATACAGGACGAGACATAGGTACTGAAGTTGTAGGCAAGCTCGATGTACGTGGTGTTTTCTTCGCTGGGAAGTTGCACCCCAACAGCCTCACCAGAACACTGCGTTGTCGTCGAATTCAGCAACTCAAATTCCTCATCAGAACCTGTTCATCAAACAAAAACCCACATTTTTTATTTTATACTTGGTTAATTTCGTGAAATGCTCGTAGAATTCTAAATTTTTCGGGACCTTCACCAGATTTCAGGAGAAGAAGGCATTATTCTAGGATAAGGGATCCTTTTCCCTAAAGTAAAGATGATTATTATCGGAATATTAGGGACGTTTTGTTAAGTAAACAAATCTCTGGAAATTGAAAGAAAAAAGTGGGAATTCTATCAAACAGTTTAATCAAAACGTCGCAGAAATACCCTAGAAGCGGGTAAACACAGCGGTTCAAACGCCCAAAAAGTTATCCTTGATGAAATGGGTCTTTGAAAATGAGGAGCCTGTGTTTAACAATCCACAATACTTGTTTTTCACGGTTTAAGGGGTTCTATAAAATATCCTCATCTTTTTTGATAAACACGGGGCCTAGTTTGGAATTTTAAGGCAGGCACACATTTTTGTAAAATAGCAAGAACATCCTCACGCTCGAATTATGAGTATACTTTATGAGTAAAATATATCTTGAGTAAAATAAACCTTGAGTAAAATAAACCCTTATAAATCCTTGTGAATAAAATTATACATTATAAGTGAAATATATGCCTAAAGAGTAAAATACACCTTATACCTAATAAGTAAATTATACCTTGTGTATAAAGACCATAAGTTATGAGTAATATATACCTTAAACCTAATAAGTAAATAATACCTTTTGAGTAAAATATACCTTAAGGGTAAAATATACCTCATGAGTAGAATATACCTTATACCTCATGAGTAAACTATACATAAAGAGTAAAATATATTGTGCTGTGTATACCCTATGATTAAAACAATATACCTTTATGAGTAACATTTTACCTGCAGGCATGATGCCAATGACGTATGACCCATTTCCACAGTGCTCTTCCTTGGTGAGAACAAACGTGTTGCTGATCTCTTCTGTCGAGGATTCCTCCAAACCTTCAGTTCCATTGATGACCCGTGGCAACCGCTTGACCACATCGTAACTGGTATCGAGAGGAGCGGACTGCAGCTTGGCGAACACCCATAGACCATCGGTACTGTCGCTTCGGATGATCGCTCGGAAGTCTTGATCGGGTTTGGTGATGTTGAACCGGTGGTAGGACATCGGGGACTTCTGGGAGATGTTGGCTCGTATCTCCTCCGTCTCAGGGGGCGCCGTGTTTGTCTTCATGGTGAGGCTGATGGGTTCCTTGGTGCCCGAGACTACCAATTTGTTTTTATTTGCTGTCTGGAACTCGATGGTAGTGACACCTGACCCGATGTCACCACTGCCTCCGCCGTAGCTTAAGGGATTGGACTCAGGAAAGTCGACGACCTGAAGTAATAATAATAATATTCCGCTTATAAAGCGCTTAATACAATGTCTCTAAGCGATTTACTACCCCGGTCATTGGATTCAGTGCTTGCCCGAACACAATGTGTGCACAATCTCCACTCCCTGGGGAGTATTCCAGCCGTGCGTTTCTTGACTAGATAAATAATTGTAAGTACATCAAAATTGATTGAATTTCAGTCTGGTCAGAAATGAGTAAGGTCTCTACCAAGGCACAACTTTTTAGTCACTCTGTCGCAAAGACTTTTGATAAGTCAACCTAAGGCAAAGTCAGTATCTGCGTCCATCACCTTTTTGAGACCTGCAAATATTACAATACGTATTACATAATCCGAAAACGATTTCTATGGAAAACACAATAGGATATTAAAACTGACCTTGAGTTGATTTCTCGGATCTCAGGGGTTATCTCACTGAGCGGCGAATGTAGCGAATTTGGGGTTTCGCCATGCAGGGTACGTAAAAGGTTGCAAAAGTTTTGTAAAGGATTGCAAGAAAGTTCGCAAACAGTTTTTCTTGGCGCTAAGAATTTGTTCAAATGTTTCTAATTTTCGCTACTAATGTCGACAACATTCGTCAGCAAAGTTGGCGAATCCAAATTCGCAACGTTTGTAAGCATTCGCCGCTCAGTGAGATACCTCCTGAAGTCATTGCAACTGTGTTCAACTTGTTTAAGCGCATAATTATTATGAAGGATTTTAATACTGTTTTTTTTTTTTAATGAAGATAATAAGTATTCCATAACCCTATCAGGAAGAGCTATCAAGAATAGTTGTTATCTGCACCGATGTGGCTCTGGATATCAAGAGCTGGCAGAGAGATGTGAATGCATCCAAACTACCCTGGTCTTTCTCTCTTTTCTCTTTCTCTCTCTCTTTCTAATATCTTTCTCTCTCTCTCTCTCTCTCTCTCTCTTTCTAATATCTCTCTCTCTCTCTCTCTCCCTCTCTCTCTCCCTATCCCTCTCTTTCTCCCTTTCTGTACGCTTACTTTCATTGCAAGAAGGTTCTGTCCGATTTCCTCCCCAAAGAAGTCGAAGGCTGGTGGAAGCCCGATCGTGACCCCTCCCAGTGCAATAGGTTCATCCCCTGTTCCGATGTCCTCAGGAGCATTGACTTGACTGCGAACTTGGAGCGTACTGCTCATCGTGACGGCTGCTTCCTGACCGGCTACCTGCTTGGACAGGATCATATCGCTGGATACTTCGATGACATCCAGTAACATAGAGCTCAGTAATTTGGCCTGAAAAGTGACCCACCCCAAAAAAAGAAGTTACATGTATTAAACTCAATTTCAATTTAATTATCATCCAACATGTCAATACATGAAACAGTCATTCATGAATAATATTGGTGAACTAAATAGATGACAGGATACCCTACCATAATTACCAGTAGAAACGCAAGAAGTAGAAGTGTGCTTGCAAGCAGGGGGGCGATTTCTTTTCATGACCGGTGTGACGAAATGCGAGGGACGAGGGAGCATAGAGAACGAGAGGGGCGAAGGTGACGGAAGTGACTACCTCCTCACAGGTTTTTGGAGTTTTGTTTTATCAAAAAATGTCATTCTTTCGCAAAACTGTAGTACAAAAACAAGCACTATAATTTTTTTCTCACTTCACTTTTACTTTGCCGGTAATGAGTGTTTATTACAAGCCTTAACTCCCAAAGAACTTTAGAAATGTAAACACTTTTTCCCTAAAGGTCGCTTGTACAATACAGCACTTTTCAGAATGTGAGTGAAACTTTAAAGTACTGAAAATTAGTCACGTAATGAAGGACATTGACTTGATTTTTTTAGAAAGATGAAAACCACTGTATAGGCGACAAAAATTTGTTTAACCGGGCAGAAAGCACTCCTTCAAAGAGCAAGCGGAATATTCATTTTTATTGCACTGATCTATTTCTATAACTCTTAATCTTGTAAACATACAGTGTAAACTTTGCTTACGTGATACCAACGGGATACAGATTTTCTACAATATTTATTTACATTTTGAAGGATATTATGCGAGGAAGCGAGAAGATTTTTGCACTTGTATTAGTCTAAACGCTACTTCTTGGGCCCTCCAGAGCCTAAAAGTGTGTTGCAGTCTTTTAGTCAGTATTTGCTATACATTTTTTTTTGCACTTGTACAAATTTTCCGGGGCGACAATCCCCCTCCCCCCTAAAAAAAAATGAGGGGACGTGTCCCCTCCGTCCACCGCATCACCGCCCCTGCTTGCAAGTAAATAAATGGGAAGTGTGATATAATTAATAGTAGAGGTACAGGAAGCATAAATGGAATGGAACGAAGAAGTAGACTATTATTGAGATGGGGGTTAGCGGTTATAGTCTCAAAACCAGTAGAAAATATAAGTAGTAGGATTACGCTTGCAAGACAGTATATAAACGGAGAGTGTAAATGAATAATTAGAAGTAGAGGAAAACAAACATAAATGAAATGAAACGAAGAAGAAGAGCATCAATAAGTTAAGATTGTTAGAGCTTTAAGTCTCAAGACAGTGCTTTCACCTCATATTTCGCCTCTTTTATTTGTTCTTCTTCGTCTTGGGGTGAAACTGTCGTAGGAGTCGTTTCTGACGATGAATTCGTAGACGTGGAGGGTAATGTTGATGTGAACATGTTTCCGCATGCGAAAATGAGTGCTTGAGTGTATAGGAGTAAGAAGAAAACAAAGATAGGTCACAGCGTTTGATTTCAATTTCAATTTTGCATATTACACAAACATTTATAACGTCCGATGGTTAACATTTGGCCTTCATTATGAATTAGTCACCCAAGATCCCTAAATTTTCAAATTTGCCCGCATGCGAAAGAATTGTTGTCACGTGCATGTTCAAGTTTGCCGATAAATTTTCAAAACCTTTCCCAACATTCACGATGAAAATATGGGAGAGAATAGGTAATCATTAAAATTTGCAGACAGCGTATACAAATTAGAATTTAGTTTCCAATAGAAAGAGACGTCTCTGTTAATAAATGTCGCATAGACACATATTTTGTACACATTGTTTACACACGCTTGTTTCTTTAGATCTTCTTTAGATGCCCATTTCATTTCTTACTTTCTAACTTTCTTCATATTTGCTAATAGATCTGTTCATTTGTATTACATGTATATCCGATATTATCATTATCACTTCGTGTTTTATATATCCATTTCTGTAATTGTGTTTATCGCTCAAAATCTACATGTTATGAGAAGAGTGAATGAAACGCTTTTTCCATTTTCTCTTTTTTTTATTTTCCCACTCATTCATGTATGTAAATTCGATTTATATTATGTATGATGTATGAAGTTATTATTATTGTTATTCTTTCCTTGAACTAATTTTTGTTCCTTTGTTTCTAGATTTATTTGTAATTTTTCTTTATATCTTTGAACATTTCAACTTTGTAATCTTTGTTTGTATCAGACTGTTTGAACAAGGAATTTTGATTCAATAAACCGAAATGAATAAATGAATGAATAAACTGGTTATTGTGTGGGTGGTTTAATACTTACAATCACCTGTTCTTTTGATGTCATCTGCGCTACTTGATTTGATGTCGGCATAATTACCAGTCATTTCCCCTAAAGCTGTAGCCGCATTCATCTGAGCAGAAAACAGGTTTTAAATTCTTATTAGTGTGTAGCACGACGTGGCAGCTATCAATGGTAGTCTATCTCAATACTCATTACTGCCACTGACGACACAAAGCACTAACAGCCTTGTTGCAGACAGCTGACGTTATACAAATTTGTCCAGGCAGGTGTTTCATTTCACATACCTTACTTTAAGCAATCCTTGCACTGAGCCAGTAAAGCATACTCTGTTACGAAACGTGCTTACATTCAATTCAATTTAATTCAATTTTATTTCACATCTCTTCAAAAACACATCAGAAGATATACAGTGCGTCCCAGAAAAAACGAAACCGAGAATTATCGATGTTTTATCATAACTTAATCATAATTATATTTAATAAATGACACATATTTGTAAAGCTAAGATCCTCTTTTTTAATGTGATGCAACTCATATGATGCACATTTTACGCATGAGTGATTAAAAAAAATTTGAGAGGGTACCAAAAAGTCATTTGGCGGATGATATCTGAATTTCAAAGAGAAAATCGCATTTCTAGGAAGTTCATATTCTGCCCTTTCATATGACACCCCAATCAGCAAAAATGAGCTAGGAATAACAAAGTTCTGTTTGTTTAAAGCAATGCTTGCATTTCCATAATTTGATTAAACGAATTCGTTTTCACTGGCTACCTGCCATAGCAACACACAGAATTAACTCCGTTTCGTTGACAATCAGCCATACACGAAGTCTTTTGTCAACGAAACGGAGTTTAATAAGTCTTTTGTCAATTATGTTTGTTGCTACGGCAAGAAGCCAGTGTAAAACGAATTTGTTTAATGAAATTAATTCTCGATATTTCCTTAGACTAAAAAACAGCACCATGTGTCCTCTCGAAAAGGCGCTATAGATAGAGTAATTATTATCATTATCATTATCGGTAGGGAATCATTTTATTTAAAGGCCGTCACTACTACTGGGCCAGAAGGGATTAGACCACACAGCAAGGTCACTGACAGGTGGCTATCTCATTAACTCAGCTCTCAACTAACATAAGAAAAATAGGATCATGGGGGACCAACAGGCATCGATTGGGGAAGTTTTCTATATAGAGGGAGCAAGTAGCTACAAGTAGGACAGTGGGGCTTTAATTTCTTTCAGCAGATTGTATAGTTACTCACAGCTAAATAGCCACTGGGCGGGGGAGACTTGGCGTAGAGGGTACTGAACGTGTCCGCGGCCAAGTTGATGTTATCCGATGTTTTGGCCAGACCACTCATGTTGGTCAACACATTCATCGTCTTATCCTTTACCTGCAAGACCATCACAGAGATCGAGGAATGAGCAATGGTCGTTTGCAGCAAGTTGTCCACATGATTATTATATTAGTGTTTGGGTTAAGCATTGGGCGATGGGGGATGTTTATCCGGACTGTCTAGTTTGCCGTTGGAATTCACGAAAATATGTATCAATTAAGTAGCACTAATTAAAATATTTTTTGAAAGATTCATGAAATATTATATGCGATAAACAATAAAAAGCTTGAGATGATAGTTATTAGGCCTACATTGCAATATGTTGCAAATATATATTGCATTATATTGCAATATTGCATTTGGGGACTCGGATGATTTAGTGTATTCTCGTTAAAGGGATCCGGTAACTTTGTCTCAGATTCTGAAACAAAATTCTGGATTTAGCTCATGATGCAATGATAATTATAAACCTTTAGGTCAGTCAGGAACCCCATGACTTTTACAAGCTGATCGCCTGTCTGATTATCAAGATATTTATGATTGGAATTACAAATTTTGAAAACCGTTCGCCTGACGGTTTTCATAACACTACAGTCTATTGGGGAAAACGAGTATGGTAAAACCGGTCACTCCAAGATTTTTACTTTTTTGAGGCACTTCTTGATCATTTTGAAGCGCAATTTTTTTAGGGCTTCAATATTACACCATATCACAGACACTGATAACACGTAGGGCCGTGTATCTCAGATTTAACATTGTCAAACGATCCCTTTAAGTTATATAACCAGCATGTATGGACTATAAATGATAGCTATGAAAATGTGATCAATTAAGGAAACGAAATTGTCTGGGCACGGACTCATGGATCATAGCGTTATGTGAGTTATAGTTATGACACAATGAGTACGCGAGCGTGATCATCAAGGAGCTCCAAATGGCTCCCTTCCTCCCTCGTACAATCTTTACGGGAAGGATATGATTTACATGGAGCTCCATCCACGAAAGGACATAGCAAGCAGAAGTTCTTTTTTCTTCTTCTTCTTTGTTTATTTTATTAAAACAAAACATGAGAATCACATTTTTTAAAGATTCGATAAAATGAAGAAGAAAAAAATACAAGAAAAATAAAAAAAAATAAAATAAAATAAAAAAAAGGCAGAAGTTGCTTCCGTTGTCGCGACCATCTCTGAATCAACCCACTATCGTTTGGATCTTACCAATATTGTGTCCGCCACATCCAGAGCAGCCTAATGAATATAGAGAAATAGAAAGAGAGTCAGAGAGAGAAAGAGATAATGTTTCCAATTATCAATAACGTTTATAATGTTCTCAATTATAGGCCCAGTGAAAAATCGTAAAGTCTGCTCATTTCATATGCCAGGATAATCTGGATCAATTCCCCAACCCCAATGTGTTTACTTAAAGGTAATACAAAGTTTTGGTATGGGGTCATAAATTTGGTTCAAATGAACATATTGGAAGCATATACTATCCTACAATATTCAGTGATCGTTGTCGCGGTTGAAATCGACTCTAAAGTTATGAAATTGTAAATTATAAACACTTTATGTTGAATAGCTCCCTCTCAAGTTCAAAATATCAATTAAGCTATGAAACAATGTTTATTTACTAAAGTTGACTGATTAGCTATTCTCGTTTGGAAATTATATACCACAACTAAATACTTTGAGATTTTCATGGTCGCAGCTACCATTGTACAGCCGTAGGAGCTATTTGAAATTAATCAAAATTTACCGGGAGCACCGGTAAATCTTTATATTCAATTTTTCTCGAAAGCAGAAGTGTTTTAGGGGCTAAAATTTCCGGCGTTTTTAATAAATCCACAGGGGCATCCAAATATATTAAAATTGTAAAGAATCACTATCCACCCATTTTTCAAAATTTCCCAAAACTTTGTAATACCTTTAAAGGTAAAAAAGACGATACCAAATTAAAGTCAAAGTTTTATTCAACGATAATAAGAACGATTTTAAAAAACATTTTAAAAACTACGATCAGCAGAAACTTTGATCAGTGCTTTTAGCCACACAAAAAGTTATGAAAACAAGAAAATAGTAAATTCGGTAATATTTGGTAGTCAACTGGTTAATTTGGCAATCGCTTTTTGTACGATGTCACTCTTAAGTGACGCGTCAAAAACTACCCCAGTCCCTGACGCAGACCCATATTGCGTCAGTAAATGGCGCCTTGTCTGCAATGGTCATTCAAAAGTTTAAGATTCAAGTTTTAAGGGCAAAAGCTTAAGATTTAACGGGGGGGGGGGATGGAAAAAGACCATGAACGTACACCATCTGCCACCGATATGACGGCACTGAGGTAGCGCATGCCGGCCTCTGGATCTTTAGACTGGAGAAAAGTGTCAATGTCCCCTCCAGTACCGAAGAGATCAACTAGTCCCTCCTTGGTCGCCACGCCTGGGATAACCTAAAGGATAGAGAACATCTGGAGCTATTAACTCATAGCCTGCCATAAGGCTGCATGCACGCTATCGTTATAGTGCTTTGTACATGCGAGAGAGCCATCGCTTGAGTGCCATGTGCGTGCCAATGCAGCATTCGTAATAGCAGATATTTTTCATGATCATTGGACTGTGCTGTGTATTTTGCACTCGCTATTCATAGAACCATCGCGTTAATCAGATTATCTCCAAAACAACCTGGCACGGGGGGATTTGGGGCTTGGCATAATGGGGATTAGCCCTGTGGCATGATAAGAGTTAAAGTAGTCAGTAGGAATCGAATGCTCTATATTTTTGCTAAATTCAAACTTCCATGCAAAGCTTATAATTATAGTTGAAAGCGCCATGTACTTCCAAAGTTGCTTTAAAAAGGTTTGAGCGAGGAAAGCATGTATTAGCGGACACTATATCCATCTCCCATGTTTCCGTTCCACCTTTCTTTTATTTCTTATTTCTCTCTTTTCTTCTTCTCCTCCTTCTCCTTCTCCTTCTTCTTCTTCTTCTTCTTCTTTGTCTTCCTCCTCTTCTTCTTTCTTCCTATTCGATAAAGGGTAGGAAACGTGCGCTCCGTACCAAGCTAAATCATTAACAAAACAAACAAACAAACAAACAAACAATAAACCAAAAATAACTCACTTGAATTGTCGTATTTGCCTGGTCCATTCCTCCAAACTTGTCCAGGACTGTGAACAGAATCTCAAATGTATAGTTGAAAGCTTCTGGACCGATGGAAAACTTTAATTGTTTAATTATTCCCGTTTCTCCAGCTGGCACGAGCTGTGAGTATGCCTCCTCTCCCTGGGGCCTGTATTGTATTCTGTATCTGAGTAAGGGAACGTAAGGTAAAGGATCATCGGTGAATTCGGCCTCATCCCCTTCGTCTTTCCAGTCTTTACAGGTTGCGGTGAAATCTGTATTCAGAGCTGTCCCTGTGTCAAATGGAATCATTTGAACTCCAATTAAGAGACTGCATTATGTGGTGATATTGTAACATCTTTATCAAATAAGGAGTGTATATTCTCGAATTATTCATGGACCTCAATAAGGCCTTTGAAACGCTTGATCATAACAATTCATTTGGATAAACTTACAATTAATGGCATAGAGGAATTGCTCTCAACTGGTCCCAAAGTTATCTATCTAATCAACGACAATATATATTCTGATATATCCCAAAGGCAGTTTGGAGTCCCTTAAAGGATGATTCTAGGCCCTTTTTTATAATTTTTAATATTCATAGATTATATTTGTAAAGCTTCATCTGTACTTAAATTCATTTCATTTGCGGATGATATAAATGTATACTTTTCCATCCTAAATCTTGATGTACTCAATGAAACCACGAATTATCGAACTTCCAAAAGTATCCACGCGGCTTATACACTGTAGATCTCACAAATTATCTTTAAATTTTAGTAAAACCATTCACATACATTTTAGGAGCAACAATGCATTGATAAATAATTTCAATTGTATACATATATCTATTGATGCAATTATAATAGAAAACAAAGAAAGTACACAGATCTTGGGTACCACGATCGATCAAGGAGATCCTATAAGAGATTTTCTCTTTGTCAAACGAATCAAGGCAGACTTTTGAGAATGAAATCGCTCTCGGGAGCAATTGATTGATTTTCTAGATTGGAATCCGCCTCAAGAGCTTTCCCTGTGTAAATCAATAATTGTTTACATTTATATTTTTATAAAGGATATCATGTTATCATACCATGTTTCAAATGAAACTATCGAGTCTGATATCATTAAAAGAGCTTCTCCTACATCAAATGAATCATTATTGGGAATAACAATTCCTTTTTAATTAATTAGTTTCAAATGTCCACTCTTTTCTATCCAAAACGAATGTTACATAGAGACCAAACGCGTACTAAAATAGCACAATATTTCATTTGAGCCCACTGGGATTCTAACCCGTTCTTGGTTCGATGTTACAATTGCCTCCGAAGGGAGGCAGGTTCGTGTAGAAGTAGACCTCTGTGAAGCCTTCGAGCAGCCCTGGCTCCTCCACATACACCCTGACGTAATAGAACTTGCCACTCTCCAAGACATTGGCCCTTATCACCAGTCCACTCTTGGTTAAATCTGAAACAAGATGACAAGAAAAAGATATTGATGCAAGCCAGTTTAAGGTCCGTTACGATGAAAAGATTGTTTTTTCTTCGAAGCTTTACTCCTCCCCCTCACCCCTTTACCTAAAAACCCAGATCCGCCCCTGCAAAGGCCCAACACTAGCTTCATGTCTCTCGTGTGATGTCAATGCAACACTCATCATATCATTATTTTATTGATTAATCTGATTCCATGAAGTTTTTAAACATACCATCTTCCACTTGCCTATTGGAGGGCCATATAACTCACATCATGTACTGTGGTGTCACTCATGCTCCATTAAACCATTGTTATCAAAGAAGATGATGGATGACGAATGCAATATTAGTGATGGCAGAATTACATGGCTGTATTTTTGCTATATTTCTGCATGCAGTGGAGAATGTTCCCACTTTGTAACCATTATATAGTCAGGTGACAGCCTCTCCGCCATTTTGCCACTATAATTATTCTGGCCCGTTTTCACAACAGTGGACTGTAGCTAAATCAATCCTCTATGTACCATATAAATTACTGTAATTCTGTAACAAATGTTATATACCCAGTTATAAAATCAAAGTGAGAAATGGATCTCATACGGAAATAATTGTGTTCGTTCATTTAGTCAAAGAATTATTTTGTTTTAGACCTGAAGGGATTCAACTGATAATAAATCAGTGAACCAGGTCTACCCTCATAGTCTAACATCTTAGTAGGTCCATGATTAAAATAACATATGTTTTTATTGAATACTGTTCTTACACGTCGTCATTTTATTCCTCTTATATATTCATAGATTGAACTGTAATATATTTTTAAGGCCCAGGATTATCATACGAGAGGTTCCGGGTTCGAAGCTCGCTCTGTGTTTATGGAAAGCCGTTAGTATCTTTGAAAATGTTGTAAAAGTTATTTTACAAGGCATAAAATGTTGATTCAAATCGTTCATATTTTTGATATCAAGGAGATATTTCATGCTCTTGATTCGGAATTCATAACGGTCTGAAATACTTGAACTTTTGCTTTTGAATATATTTTATTTTGAGGCTCCAAATGGCACTCCATAATGTTTAAGTCCAACTTCGAGTTAAGTTCGACTTGGGATCTTTGTGAAACACTCCCCAGTTACCTCACCTGTGTCAGCCTTTGCTGCAAGGTCTTCTTCCTCTCGGGTCTCCATACCAATCTTCATCTCCCACCGGAACGTTGCATTCTGAGTGGCACAGTTGAGACAAGATGCCTGATAGGCCACTAGTGAAGTCGGATTAACCTTCTTCAGGCAGTTCTGAATGCAGCTACAGAGAAAAAAACAGTGGTGGTGACTCGTGTTAACTGCTTGATCGAGTGAGCAGATAGCTTGTACTTATTGATTTTGTTAATAAGATACTTGAAATCAAGAAAATTAATAAGAAAATCAGATGTCGTCATTTTCCACGTGCATGTACCCATAGGACTATATATTTTACTTTAACTCCAAGCTGAAATCTCATCTTATTTAACAATACCTGTACTTGGCACTATGACACTCATCCAAACTCTCTTATTCTTTCTATTTGTCTCGTACGCCTCGGAATAGAATTGTCTAGATAGACGGCGCTATATAAATGCCTATTGTTGTTGCCTTCTGCATAATATCATATGGACCCAAATCCAATGGGTCTAGCGATGTATGTTTATGATCATAATTCCTTGACGGAATTCTAAATGGATACCACAAATTCATTCACAGTGTCTTCTAACTTCTTGTGAATTAGATTTTTTGTTTTCTCTTAGTCAATGCTTTGCAGTGATTTGCTTTTACTGCTCAAGTATGGTTTAAATGTAAAATAAAAAGCATGATACTTACTCAATTTTAGCCTGAACTGGGTCTCCTGGTACCGTTGTTATGGCCTGTTCATACGATCCTAACCTTCCGTCGGCGTGATTGGCGGTCACTTTGATGGTGTAAGTGGCATCAAGTCTTAGGGCTCCAATAGTAAAGAGCGACTTCGTTTCCCCGGGAACTGTGTGTTCATCAGCTTTAGAGTATTCACAAATCGATTCACCCGTAGGATCGACCGTAGGAACGGGAGTTACACCATTATCCTCTCTGTAGCAACTCCATGTGAAGTTCCATTTGCTGAGGTCCTGATCACCAAGCTCTTCATCGGGGTCTTGAGACTCCGTAGCATTGAACGTTATGTTTTCTTGACCGTTGACAGTCCTGGCGGTGCCACCGCTAATGACGACAATGAGTGGTGTACTGACAATGCGCATGTATACATAATCGATTCCTGAGAGTGGTGGGCTCGTTTCTGTTACTGTAACCGTCATGGTCAGGTTGTATAGTGCCACTGCAAACGTCAGAGGTGGAAAAGTGTAATCTGGTAGAGCTTCGTTATCCAAATCAGTAAATGTCCCATTCAGGTCATCTATCATCTTCGTTGACCATTGAAACTGGGGCGTTTCCTCAAGTCCGTAACATCTGAGCCTCACGGTGGACGCTAAATTGATCTGTTCTGAGCGTAGATATTTTTTAGGTTGTTCTTGGGTCCCACCATCTCCTCTTATTTCTACTTCGGGTGGACCAGTGCATCCGACTATAGTGATTGTTTTCAACAAAGTGATGGTAGAGTCGTCCGAGTCCATGTTATTTGTCACAACAACGGTTAAATTAAATATTCCCGGTGTGTTGAACTCAACATGTGTCAGCAATTGTGTGTCCGTTGTCCATGCAACACCTGGTCCACCGCTGGCATAAGGAGCGTTGTAGCAGTTCGGTGGGCCAGAAAAGTAAATTGTTTCATTGCAGAACATCCAAAGGATACATAGAGGTGAGTACATATCTGTACCCATAAGTGTTATGTTGAGTTTGCTGTACGCCTTCAGCTTCAAATTTCTATTTCCAGAGTCTACAATGTCGATATCCTCAAAAGTAAATGGTGACACGATATGGACAAACGTTACAAGATTATCGCTGTATAATGGGAAACTGGCTTCAACAGTAACGGCGAACACACCTGTCGTTTCAAATTCATGATCAAATTCGCGTATAGTGGTCGATGGTTGATCTACACTATATTTCCATGTGTAATGTGTGTCATCATAAAGAGGTTCTGGGGTAAATCGAAGTAGCTGGTCTTCATAAAACCAAGTTTCATTCTGACCACCTCCATACTGACCATCACTTGCACCGCCGAAATATTTGGTCAAAACTTCCCAACTGCGTTTTTCGGCTACTGACAGTGTTGCTGTCAAAATACCACTCCACAAGCCGTAAGATATCGTTAGATTTGTTTTGTAAAGCCCCTCGACAGTGAATCTGTTCCTTTTGACTTCATTACTATCTAGCATGATCTTGTTCTCCTGTGAGTAGTTTCCATCTCCAAAGTCCCAATAAAAATCTGCGTACCCCACAGGAATGTCTTCACCGGTGGTAACAGATAATGTATACTCAACCAGAGCTTCGGTTAGCCAATAAAACGACTCAGTCAAGGTCAGTTGAAATATCTGTGAAATTGGCTTTCTCACAGTCACTGCCAAGGTAAGGTTGGACGATCCTAGGACATTGTGACAGTTCAATGTGGCCAGATAATTCTTCACCGCTGGAGTGTACCCGCATTTTACATTTACAGGAAATGCAGATAGATCTCCTTCGTTTACCATTAAAGTAGTGGCGTCATCACCCAGATCTATGATACAATTCATATGTGAAGGATAGGGTAACCCCGGCTGAAGCCCAATCTCAAACTCAGCAGTATCATCTAGTACAAGAGGAGTATTTATACCAAATGTTAATCCTTGAACCGGGTGCAGGATTTGTATCGTCTCACACTGTGGTGCTTTACTGAGTGATAGCGCATTAAATGCTTGTCCACATACTTCGTAGTCTCCAGGGCTGCTATATGTGTGATTAAATGTAACAGATGTCGCTGATGTGAGATAGCTGTTCTCTTGGCTACCATCATCCCAAGTTACGTTTATCATTATTTCAGTTCCGTTAACAGGCACGACTGTAAATTCCACGACATCCCCGACAAGCAATGCTGGTTCAGATACACTAACAGAAAATTCATTCAGCTGATACATCGCTCCCACCTGTATTTGTTTGATGACAGAGCTGACCCTATTGGAAATCACTGCCGTGACGATGTAGGATCCACTTATGTTGTAGATAGCCCCAGTAAGTGTCGCATGGTTTTCGAGCTTCATTGAAAGACTGCACGTACATTGCTGAGAGAACAAGAAAGTGACATAAGTATCTCCGCGAATGCTTTGTCCCGAGTTCAGTGTCAAAGTGAAGTTAATTTGGTTTTCGATGGTCAGGTCAATCGCCTGAGGAGAGGCGCTGAGGGTAAACTGGTCAGCGGGTGGAACACTTTCCTGTACTATAATTGTAGCATTTTCCGTTGAGCACTCAATTCCGGATGATATGGCATTGGTGACTGTGGCGGTGACGTTATATACTCCAGCTGCATTGAAGGAATGATTGACCGCTTGGTCACCCGGGAATTGGGAATCAAAGGTTACAACATCGCCATCGCCAAAGTTTACTTGAATTTCAAGGGAATTGCCACCTTCAACAACGATGACTGTTTCTTTGTTTTCCCCTACCTCCTGTGCATCAGGAGCGATAATAGAGCAATTTTTCACCACTTTACCTACCACGACGTATTTCTCAACTGTTTGGTTGCTGAAGGCATTTGAACAGGTTGCTGATACTTTGACAGGGTTGAGGAACTCTTGCGAGTAGTTGAAGTTTACAGAAAACTCGAAGGTGCTATCCAGTATGGTGTCGCTTTTAACGAACTCTACCCCATCGCCAGTCTGTATGGTACATGTGACTCCGGGGATGACGTCTGTTCCTGCAGTTAGCTGTGCATTGATGTTTTCATTTGTATTGACGACATCTGGAGTCAGAGAGAGCTGCAGACCAGTGACGGATTGGAGTACATCAATAGAGGTATTGGTTGAGTCGGTTCCAAAGACATTTGATGCGGTGACGATGATGTTCTTTGTGCCTGGGGTTGAGTACCTTCGTATCCATGTGTAATCATCGATCAAAAGTTGTTGGGAAATAGGATCTCCATCATCGAAATCTACATCGACAGTTACATTACTCCCACCACTTATTTCAACAATGATTTGTATAGGAAGGTTTGTGCCGAGTGAACCTGATGTCGTGATTGCTAGTCCAGATATGGCCTCCCCAACAGTTACGTTTACCGAAATAGGAATGTCTTCTTCGAATTTGTTTGATATAACTGCATCAATGGGAAAAATTCCAAATTTAGTTGGTGTCCAGGTTGTCTCAAATGTGTTACTAGTAGTTGGTGATTCCTCAAAGTCCATTTCTTGTCCATTGAGAACGAACATTGCTTTAACTGGCCACTGGCTTCCACTAGTGAGAGTAACCTGTATAGTAACATCTGACAGGGTAGTCGTAGTGCCATGCTGTTGAACACTGAATGTTAATCCTTGGAAACTGCTCCAGACTGTGACCGATGCGGAGTCTTCTATGTCGCCACAGTCTACAGTGAATGTAAAGTCACCGGCTTGTGTGTATTGGTGCTGATACTGCGTCTCGTGTTCGGCGTCATGTTGGTTCTTCGTTACAGTGCCGTCGCCGAATGTCCATAAACACGCGAGCTGTGATGTGTCAGTTTGTACGGCAGTGTGTACGACATACGTGAAATTCAGGAGCGTATTCACTAGACCTTCGATGCTATCGACTTTAATAAAATTCGCACTCCTACGGTGCCTAACAAGAGGCGTCTCGGTATCTTCGTCCAATGTACTTCTCCTGTATCGGTCATGTTGTGCCAACGGCGGTGAACGTAGGACAGGAGCGTCACCAGGCCTAACATCCGGTAGATATTGTGATGGAGAGATCAAGCTGGATGTTAAGTACACACTCCATTCGTCTATAGAGCCACAAGGCAGAGAGCGATAACCATGGCAGACCTGTCCACATTTGCGTGTATGGTCCAGGGTGACAATGTCATCCACGCAGTTGCACTGGTTCTTACCAATTACGGCGTACGCGGAGGCGATCATACTGCACGAGATGCGACATGATTTAATGGTGCTATCTTTGGGCGGTATCGGCGACGTTTCTGTAAACAGGTCACGTGATGCTTTGGTATCAACCAGGCAGCCCAAGTAGTAGGTGTAGATCGTATCTATGATTAGATTAATATGAATAAAAGCATAATGAATTCAAAATTTACTTGCCCATCTCCCTCATCACACATCATGATGGTTGCCTCTTGTGTAACATAATTTTGATTTAAATAAGTACATTTTATCTTTTAAAAAATTGATAGCTAGTTCTCTGCAAGTTGTAACTGATGTCTTAAGTGTTGACAAACTTGAGATTATTTAGTCATTCACTTGATTTTTATTTTCAAATGTGTTATTGTACATTGGGAAGTATTGGCTCACATACAATAAAAGGCCCTAACATCATTAACGATACATACGTGAACCGAATGAATATACCAATATTGCATAATCAATTAGCTAAGATGATAATATGATACATGACATTGATATCAAAGTTTCCTGTTGTTCTCATACATTTGTCCTCCTACTTCACGTAAACATTTATCTTGGTTCACTTCTCCTTTTATTTTCATATACAATGCAATAGAAAACGAAATAGGCTATTTGAGTAATTAAAAAATTAACACTGATGAACTTGAAAGAACATGTAATCAATATGGAACCCCAAATTGTCTGTAATACTCATAACAAATTTACATCCTGCATGCATGTTTATACATTCCATATGGCAACGGAGTTCAATTTGTGATTAAAAGAAGCAAGTACGTTTTAACACTTTTAGCCCATGTTTGAAAGAGAGTTTTTTTAATTTTGATCAAGCTAACATCAAATAACAATTTATTGGATTTTGTTCCAATTTTTTTTTATTGGTGTTAACTACAAATAGGTTTCTATCATATCAATTCCTTTGTATTTCTTTGTCTCGTCTTATTGTCATTTAAAACTAAGTACATAATATAAAATTGGAGCATTTGGAAACAACATTATAAAGATTATAGTTATGAATCATACTGTACACCAACATTCAATAAACTGTTAAACATGAGAAAACCAAACTCATGTATCGATAGGAAACAAACAGGGCATTAATTATTTCACGAAACCGTCGTTAAATACATGTTCGCTTAAGAAGAAAAAAACCGAAACGCGTTTTCAGATGGTCGTCTGCGAATTAGTAGGATGGGGGCAGTGTGTTCGGACAATAACGTCATCTTTTGCCATTGGATTTAAGGAAAATATTCATCAAATAGCAATTAATACCATGAAAACTTTTCATTTAAATTATTGCCGACACATCTTCTGAAAAGATTCATGGAACTTTGGACGCAACGTGTTCAAATTACCGTTCGAAATTATTCGTCCGGATCCATACAACCTGTCCAGACATGGGTATATACTTTGTGACGGTTTTATGAAACGCTACTAATTAGCGCCTTACCCTCGCTCTGAAAATCAAGAAGCAATTCAGCCGCGGATCCAGCTGGTCTCAAAAATTCGACAAACTGAAATGTATCCGCTGGGACAGTGCTGATTGCATCCCCTGACTCTGTCTCCGCTTCGTCTGGTATTTTCTGTGGTACGTCGTCGAACCCGGCGCAGATGTCGTCGACATAGACATCGAGACCGATGTCGTGTCTCCACGTGACACCTACCAGCATGGGATGATCAAGCCGAGAGCTGAACTCTGCGTTCCAAACCAGATCGTTGGTCATCACACGCACCTAGTCAAAGAATCATACAGAATAAGATGAGGGCATGTGCCATGTGGCCAATTCAGGGGGCACAGGGGATCCCAGCCGAATACAATCTTGCATAACATCGAGTGCGGACAAAAATAGTGCCCCCATTTGTGCTCCCTGCAACTAAATTAGAACCCCCCCTCCCCCATTCATCCCCTAAATGCGTTGACTTTTTGAATTTTGCTTGATAGAAAATGTTCAGACTTATCATAATTGTGCCCCCCCCCCCCTCCCCCCCCCCCCCCCCCCCCAACCCGAGAATCCTGGACCCATCACTGAAGCGGCAGTGAAAAATAATGTTTGAGAATGGCGTACCACATCACATTAATAGTTCACCAAGGAAGGAATCGAGTACCTTGAAGACGCCTATCTTTTGCATCGAGTCCATCTCCTCCAGGCGTAAAGTCACGGGCATTTTCCAGCCCCGGTCATAGACATTGGAGTCTAGCACGTTGCCAAATCTTGGAGCGAAATCGATGACATCGTCACTTTCAAAGACGGTTTCGATGTCCGCTGTTGCATTGAAGCTGGCTGTGAAACCATGCTTACATTGCTCTATGTCCTCAAGACAGTGTGGTATTCCTCTAGGGCGAAACCGGGATGGGTCGTCGGGTGTCGGCAAAGGCCACTTGAAGACATCACCGTCGTCTAGAGTAGGACAAAGGACAAATCAGATTGAAAAGAGGAAAACATAATGATTAATTAAAACTTAACACTGGATTGTATTCGAGTCTCATGTATATTGTTCTTGTTGTGTTTTACCCGGCACAATTTAAACATATCTTTATCTTTCATTCGTATCCGGACACCTACCCCAGGACATCCTCCCCCGGATAACCACCCCCAGTCAACTACCCCCTAGAACAACCACTTTCCAGGACGACTACCCCCCGGGACAATTAGCCCCCCCCCCCCCTGGACAACTACCCCCAGACAACTACCCCGTAGGACAACTATCCCCTAGGACAACTACCCCCTAGGATAGTTGTCCGGGGTGGATGTCCTAGAGGGTGGTTGTCGTAGGGGGTAGCCGTCTGGGGGAACTGTCCGGGGTAGTTGTCCGGGGTACTTGTCTGGGGGTAGTTGTCCTAAGGGGTAGTTGTCTGGGGCTAGTTATCCCAGGAGGTAGTCGTCCTAGAGGGTAGTTTCCCTAGGGGGTAGTTGTCTGGGGGGAAGTTGTCCTGTGGGGTAGTTGTCCTAGGGGTAGTTGTCCGGGGGTAGTTGTCCCGGGGGTAGTCCTTTTAGAGGGTGGTTGCCCGAGGGGATAGTTGACTGGGGGTGGTGATCCCGGGATGGATGTCCAGGGAGAAAGTGTCCTAGAACCCTTTCATTTGTATCACCCCAATGTCTAACCGGTGGGGATAACGGTAATTAGACTCTTTAATCACTAGTACTGTTAAGCAAAAATATCCTTGTGACATGAACAAAATATGTTTACAAATTCTGTTTGAGGTTAAAGGTATAGACCAGTTTTGGAAACGCCCCCATCTCAAAAAATTAAATGGAAGCTCTCATTACCATCATGTGAAAGAATATGTTTTGACTAACACGCGATGATACACATTTTGCCGGGAAACCTCCTACTAATTGATACATTTGGTAAATTATCATATCGATCCGGCCTGGATAGATATCGCGAATGCACTTCAACATTGAACATTTGGGCATGCATTTCTGTTTTTTAGGAATTAAGGTTGAAGTATTGCCACCTAAACCAATATTTAAACAAAATTGAATGGATATTTTGCACCCAAAACGCTTGAACTGCAATTTTACCACTACCGGTCTTTACCTTTAATGTAATGATTGCACGCGGGTTTTGCATTTACATTATAGCTCAACATTAGACTTATTTTCATGACTTGCCTTGTACTTCTTCCTTTGATGTGTAGATTAGTATATAACCACAGTATTATAAAATTGAAATAATAGCCGAGCATGCAAGGTATAACTAATTAAGACATGAATGATAAGCATGGCAGCCATATTGCCCAAAACCTTGTAAATTATATGTCTCTTTAAACAGTTGAAGATGGCCAATGAGTGTGTTTACATAATCCGGGACATAATTTTTTTTTTTATACTTTCGAGGAAGCACAAAAAAAATTTTTAAAAAAAATCACAATTTAATGGGCTTATTAATGAAATAATAATTTGACACTAAAATGCGCCTCAGTAAAATTTAATACTGATGAAATTGCACTTCTCCATATTCATCCTTGTAGATTTGATAAGAATTGAGTAATTTAATCTTGAGTTACATGTATTTAATCTTATCATCATTAATGATGACATAAATAAGAAAGTAGCTAAATGTTCTTAAACTTATCTTGAGTTAACTCATGTATGTCATTTAGTCTGAAAATATTTCAATAAAAACGATCAGCATTTAGTAATGGAAAATTAATTTAATTCTGCGCGATAGCTCAGGGGAGGCGCGATAGCTCAGTCGGTAGAGCAGTGGTCTCGTAATCCGGTGACCCGGGTTCGAAACCAAGGCGATGCGCTAGTGCCCTTTGGTAAGGCATTAATCCTCACTATCAGAGGACCTTAAGCCGTCGGCCGTCTGGTTGCTTACTTACAAGCATTTATGCTTTCTTAACAGTCAGGTAAAATAACCATCACATCACCAATAAAAGAATATATATAAGGTACGCCGGTAGGAATAACTTTGAAATAAAGAAAATATCATCATTACTGGAGAACTCTTTACAAATAAATTCAACACATTTACTTTGACCATCTATAATTATACTCTTGATTCCCATAAACGTTTTTGACAAACAAAATTATTTCAACAACTATTTTCAAAATGTAAAAGTTATTGCTCTCAGAACCGCTGTCCGATGGAGACTGACATGAGTGCAAGCTGTATTTAACTAATAACAATTGAACTATCAATTGAATGAAATGACGATGGGACTTCGACAAGCCTCTGTCTGTAAACATAATTCATTGTCAAATGTATTGACTAAGCTCAAATGTCGCTCCAAATTAATTAGAATTGTCCATTTTAATGCTTCCCCTTCATGACAGGAGTGATAGTTTATGTTACAAATGAATTAGATGGACTATACCCTAGTAATAATGTCAGCTAGCCCGGCGACGGGGACAGATGAGGGGAGCACGTCGGCACGTACGACGTACATGAATTGATTTTCTAAAACTAGGGTTTCAGCATATTCAAAATAGACCAATATGTATGTTAGGTCAATCTTTTCAATACAATAGACCTATTTAATAATTGTAAACTTCTTAAATATGTTAAACAAAAGTTTCTCTTGACAACTCAAGAGCTTGCCAGGGGCTTGCTAGACACATCAATGTTTAAAACCCCTGCATGGTCACTGACAGGTAGTTATCTCACCACATAAGCTCTCAAATAACATAAGAAAAAGAGGCCATGGGGGAAAATGGGCACCGATTAGGCATTGTTTGCTATATAGAGGGCGCAAGTAGCTATAAGTAGTGCAGTGGGGCTTTAATGTATGCATAGTTGATTCCTTCGATTGAGATGCCATTCAACCATAGTAGGTGAAATAAGGGGTTAGGGGTTCTGGAGAAAATACATACATAAATTGAAATATATTGTAAACATATTTATGATTCATTTGGGAGAGTATATCGTAGGTCAACAATGCCTTAATCCAAGTAATTGTTAAAATAAACGCACTAGAAGAAAAACAATGATGTAATTATAATGACGTTATTAAAGAAATACCAAGAAGTGGTATTCGCATAAACAGGGAAGTGTATAATTTCAACAGACAATGCGATTTGGGCGCCCTTTTTACGAATTCAAAGCGATATAATTGCTTTTACTCTCATCATCATGCATCAGGTTTTCTACAGAGCCGATGCCTTCTTTGTCATAAATATTTCTTCCTATGAAAAATTGTCATCCATTTTCACAAAGTCCATAAGACCCAGACAGCTGTGTTCCTATACACTGCATTGTATGACTATATTATGAGCATGATGAGAAGGCGCTTTTCATCTGGTGCCATGGCAACCTCACGCATGACCGCCATTTTTTTTTTCGATGTCTAAAACAAAAAAAATCATAATCTAATCTGCCAAAGTAGCGTCAATATTTCAAAATGTTCATCCTTCGTGAAGTGGTGGCTGAACCCTCTTTGTCACCATCATCACAAAAGCAAAAGGATTATTATCACGAGCGAGGTTACCATTATTTTCATTAAAGCTCTTCAATTATTCAGAAGAAGTAGATAATAATTAATCCTGTCACCTATAGCCTGGGAATAATACATACACCAACCAAAACACTCAGCAACGGCTTTCTCGATGTGCTGAGCCATTATACTCATAGTTATAAAAGGCCTACTCGTTTCAGCCTGTACCATGGAAAAGTGTTTGGAATGCACTCAACCCAGGTGAGGTAAATGGGAACCTGGTAGGATTATTCCTTCAAATGCACTGTGCGCTGATAACGACTGCCGGAGCTAAAGCTAGGGTAATAATTTCCAAGGCTCTTTAGAAGCGCATAGAGACGTTATACAATGTAATATGAGCTATACAAGAACTGAATATTACTAGTTATTATTATCTTTTCATGTTTAAGATCTTTAAATACATTTCTTGAAGATGATGATGATGAAGAAGAAGAAGGGAAAATAATGAACACTATCGAAAAGAATTTCGAAAAAAATCAACCTAAGGCAATGTCCATCATTAATAGGGACTTTTAGATTCTGCACGACGAGAACGTGGACTGCCCTTTTAAGGCAATGTGACGTCACTGCCAGTGCCTTAAAAGGACGTCAAATTGCCTTAAAAGGGCAGTCCATGTTCTCGTCGTGCAGAATCTAAAAGTCCCTATTGTTGAAATGTGCGAACATTACAATAACGTGTTACGTAATCCGAACATGATTTTAAGGGATATGCAATGGGGTATTGAAATTTCTCTTGAGTTGATATAAAGTTTTGCGATCTTGATCATGATACGATAGACCAATGTGCATTTTAATTATAATGCTGTAACCATGGTATGACATTCAGCATTTTGAATCAGGTGAAACATTACAAAGGATGAATTGCAAAAGTTAAAGCGTGGACAGAAAGCCTAGCATATCGCAATAAATGCTATAAGATGTTTAACAAAAGAAAAAACAAGAACAAGAACCAAAAAAAGAAGAAGAAGAAGAAGAAGAAGAAGAAGAAGAAGAAGAAGGAACACAAAAAGAGGAGAAAGAAGAAGATGTGGATGGGGAAGAACAATAACAAGAAGAAGGAGAAATAAAAAACACTTTTTAAATAAATAGTGATTACAGGCAGGTTATGCTTTTGAGTTCTACTAATGCTGACAGGTTCAAAATCACTTGGTTTAAAAAAAATGACAATTTAAAAACTTTTTAATGTGGCTTATAATGCATGTCCTAGTATATTGTTTTCAGAGGCATGGCATATTGATTAAAACAATGTAACAATAAAGACAACATGTAACTGTTGCCAATTTAACGGAGAAAATGCGATGAATTCAGCTCTTAAAATCCTATCCTGAAAAGGATAATAGGAGAAATGTATAGTGGCTGAGTAATGTGCATTAAGAAAGATTAGGAAATCTGAGTATTAACTTGACTTGTGCTTAGCATATAGGTCCCTATGTGCAAATAAGAGTTGTGGTTTTT